GGAGGAAAACACGAGTGACAGGAAAAGAGAAGAGGAGGAGGAGGACGACGACGACGAGGAAAAAGAAGCCTTTGGAGGCCTAGCAAGACCGTATTAGGGCCTCCTGAAGGCTTCCCTGGGCCTTCTGGAGCCTCCTGGGGGGTCCCTGGGGGCCCCGAGGGGCTCTATTGAACCCCTTGGCCTTCGGTGGCGGTCTTGGGGTTCTCTTTGGCGCTTTGGGGCAGTCGTGGAGTTCTGTGGGGCCGTTGTGGGGCGCCTTTGCGGTCGTCTTAGGGCCCTCTTGGCCCGTCTTGGTACCCTTTTGGGTGCTGCTGGGGCCGTTCTGGGGCTTCCTTAGAGGCCTCTGGGGCCGCCTTCGACTGGCGGAGGCCCGAAAAGGCGAGAACGTGACAGGTACTATGAAACGTTTTTGGGGAATCAGTGATTCTGGTCTCCTGGAGGTTCTCTTGGAGCCCCCGTTGGTCGTCTTGGGGCCTTTGGGGACGTCTTGCGGCCGTCTTGGGCTCTTCTGAAGCAATCTTGGTCTCGACGGCGTCTTGGATCCATCTTCGATTCGTCTTGGAGGCCGTATTGGGCCATCTGGGCCTCTTTGGAGCTATCTTGGTGCCAATGTACAACCCGCCTTGGCAAGTCACTGAAGCCGCACCGATAGGTCGCACAACTCAGCCGATAGGTCGTTCAGCTCAGCTTGGTTTTGTTCCTCTCTGGCACGGAGCCCCAGTGCCAGAAAATGACCCTGGACGAAACGCGGGTCCCAGGGGAGGGGCCGAGGGGTCCAGGGCCCCGAGACCCGAGCATTCCGAGCTCGTCGGAGCTCCGGGGGCGCCGCCTGAGGCGCCGGGCGCTGGCCCTCCCGGGCTGCTGGTGGTCGTCGAGGCGGAGGGCATGGGCCTGGAGGAGCTGTGCTGCCAGTACCGCGTCCAGTGGTGCGACTTGGCGGCGCAGCCCGCCGCGGACGCGCCGCCCGCTGCGGAGGTCGCCGCCGCCGCGGCCGGCGGAGCTGAGGCGCTGGCCAGCGCCAGCGCCGCCCTGGCGCCTGCTGGGCCCGCCGGCGAGCCGGCGGCAGGAGAGCCGGAGGCGCCGCGGAGGCCGGCGCCCGAGTGGGCGGAGGTCGTCCCCCGGCGAGTGGAGCTCCGCGGCCTGCCGCTGCTGGCTCTTGTGCTGCCCGCGCCCGGGCCGCTGCTGGTGCAGCTGCGGCTGGTGCAGCGGCAGCTGCCCGACAACACGTTCGCCTGGAACGACTGGGCGCGCAAGGCCCGGGGCGAGGCGGACGCCTGGCTGTCTCGCGCAGCGCCCTCGGTCGTCAGCACCGCCTAATCGATCCCCATTCCCACCGAGCCATGGTACCTCGGCCCCACCTCGTAGGAGGAACAGGTACCCATACTGCTACCTTTCCCCAGGTGTGCCCTCTATTACCCTCCTGGGAGGCTCTCGTCGTTACCGCTGGATTCGACCCGAAATTTTAGTCAGAACGCACCCCGGGAGAGGTCCGGGGAGTAGCTTGAGGTTCTCGATGCGGGCTCCCTGGAAGTCTGGACCCTTGCCCCAGGGCCGTCTCTTCGTCCTGAGTTGCCTCTTGACGGTTCCAGGGCCTGGCGAGGGCCCTCAGGGACCGAAAAAGGTGGACACTTTTTTGTCGTGATGTTTTCACGACGCGAGCATGTTTGGTAACGATGCTTAAAACATGTTGTAAAGACAGTGTAAACACACATACGCACAAACACACACACACAACACACACACACACACACTTTTCTATCTATACATATATATGTGTATATATACACGTATACGTATACATGCATACATACGTTTATGTACGTGTCAGAACCAAAGCGCGCGGAGCGCGCGACGGCCCCTCCAGCCCCAGAAGGTGCAGAGTTTCCAGCACTTCCAAACTGAACGCGCAACCTGCCCCTAAGCCCGATGCCCCCAAAGTGAACCAAGGCCTCACAATACGCGTTGGGATGAACGCCAACCCAAGTCGCGGCATGCACTCACTGTGTTGAGCAAGCCCCGCGCTAGAGCTGAGGCCATCGTGGGCACGCGCATTCGTGCACCCGTGAACTTGTTCATACGTGCAGCCGTGAACTTGTCAAGAGCTGGCAATTTCTAGAACCTAAGCGCGCGAAGCGCGCACGTGGTTCTATACATAAGAAATCGATCGGGCGTGCCCCTCTACAGGAGGAATACCGACCGGTGCGTGCGAACAAACACGACCATCTATGCGAGCGACTACGTCCGAAGACGTGCCCATAAAGTCCGCGCGGGCTGCTCTTTCGCTCTGACCACATCTTTGAACGCGCAGAGACGAGCGCGAAGCGAGCGCGCGGCGCGCCGCGCCCCTCCCCCCGCCCCCCCATTGTGCAAAGCTGGAGGCAGGCGCGGACTGCGCCGCCCAGCCCGCGACCCAGCTTTGCGCAATGGGTGGGGGGGAGGAGAGGGGGATCAGACAGGGGTATGTCCACGGTTAACGGTTTTGCTCTCGTAGTCTCGTTTGTTTTTTTCGCACGCTCCGGAATTCAAGAATGGTCGCGACTGTTTTGGTTCGTTTGGCATTATTTGAATATTTGAATTATTCTTGATTTGCTCACCCAAATTCCTTTGTGGGAGGACATGCCCGACCTAAGCATAAGATGTCTGCTGGGAGCGATGCTCAGGTCATCCTCGGCCTCGAGGCGCCTGCACCTCCCACGGCAGCGGTGGACGTCGCCGAGGACGGGCGCTCGCTGGCGGTCCGCCTCCGCTGGGCCGTGCCGCCCTCCAGTCGCCTCTGGCCGCTGGGCCGGCACCTCCGCTGGCAGTACCGCTGGGGCCTGGTCATCGAAGACAAAAGGAACCCGAACCCAAATATCACGACGAAGACGTGGCCTCACTTAGGTCCCCGTCTTCGTACCAGGGATCATGAATCTAGGCGGTTTGGTCTGATACATTTGCAGAAATGACCTTCTAATCTTAATGGTTTTGGCCCTCCTCAATCAGGTCCCCTCCAAGGGGCAGGGGTATGTCTGTATTGGTCACCAGGCCCACGTCGCGGCTGCCGCCCCCGTTGCGGTTCCCGGCGCGCCCGCGGCGGAGCTGGCTCTCGGGCCCAGCAACGAACCACCTCCACAAGCAAGCTTGACTTTTTCTGGGAGGTTCCTCGGGGGGAGCGCCCGCCGAACTCGGCGTGCGCACTTTGGGTGTGGTTGCGGTCGATTTGGCCGTCCTGGGACTTCACATCGACCGTAACCAGCACTAAGCTGGTTCTGGTGTTCTGACGATAGACGGCATGCGCAAGACATCCCCCCAGGGTGTGTTTTCGATGTGGTTATAGTCGCTTGCTGTCCCCTCATGGCAGCGAGCAGCCTGGCCATCAGAGGAGAAAACCCAGAGATGCTCGCGCCAGGGCAAAAATCGCGACGGGATGATTTTTCCTCGCTGTCGGCCTCTGGGGGCCCTCGCCAGGCGCCAGCAGGACCGTCAAAACGCGATTCAGGATGAAAAACTGGTCCTGGGGGGGGGGGTCGAGACCTCTCGGGGGGCTCTGGGTAAAAGGGTACCAATACGGCTGCTCGTCCAGGAAAGCCCTCGTGGCATCGGCTGGACTCCTCGAAAGCCCGGTTTTCAGGGCGCTGGAGCCCCCGGTAGAGCCTCCAGCTCCGCCCATGGCGCGCTCCGCGCGCCAGGGCGGGCTGGTCCAGCGCCGATCCGAGAAATCCGCGCTGACCTCCGAAAGCTTACGTTCATGGAATCGTTTGTTCCTCTCGAAACCCAGACCTCCAACGTCGCGGAGATTTTTCGCCGATTTCGGTCTCTGGGGTCCTCGCAGGCCCCCATGGCCGTCAGAAATGGCTCATGATGAAGAGCCCAGGTAAAGGCCCATATTTCCAGGGACCCCGTCTCTAGAAACTCTAGAGAAGTCGGATGTCTGGCAACGTCGGGTCTCAGGATCAGCACACACACACACACACACACACACACCCGAAGAGGCCCGGGGAGTAGCGGTGCGCGTTCACCTTCTGTCTCCCTAGGCCCCGTGCGCGGAGGCGGCCATGAGCTGCGGCGCCGAGGACGTCTCCACCGCGGCCTCGCATGGACCGACGCCGTCTCCCACCGCCTCGGACAGAGGGACCAGTCGGGGGTTGCTGAGGGTGTCCCCGGGCCCATGAAAGAGTACATCCCTGAAGCTTCCGCTCGTCTTGGGTTGATGGATTGATTACAGAGCCCAGTAGCCCCTAATAGCGCTCAGTATCGCCCAGTAGCGCCCAGCAGCGTGCAGTAGCGCAGAATAGTGCTCAACTGACGCCCAATAGCTACCACTAATAGCGCCCAAAAGCGCCACGCGGGGGAGATGCGCAATGTCCGCTTTGCGCCCGGTTGGGTGCGCTGTTGGGCGCCATGGGGACGACCAATAGCTTCCGTGAGCTGCTTTCTACAGCCCAGACATGCTCGCGTCGTGAAAAGAGTACGACGGACGGTTCTTGGCCGTTTCCGGTCTTTGGGGGCCCTCGCTGTGGGCCTTGGAACCGTAACAAGAACGGCTCGGGATGAAACGCTGGTGCTGGGGAGCGAGTCGATACATGCAGGGGCCCACGTTTTGAAACAGTCTGCATGGACATCGCGCCATTCTAGGGCCTCCAGGGTGCCCTCTGCAGGCCACCTGGGACTCCCGGGAAATTCTTGGACCAGGGGCACCTCTGACATCCCCCGAGCCGTGTCCTCTTCTGGCTCGCGGCCAGCTGTGGGGTGCCAGGGGCAGGACTGGGCGTCCGGGCCCATGCTCGAGGACGTGATGGGCGACAGCTGGGAGTGCACCTCGCCCTGGCTGAGGGACGCGTGGGAGGGCACGTCCGTTGTCTGCTGCGTGAGGTACTTCCGTCGCAAACTATGGGAGCCTTGTGTGTCCTCGCAAAGTCGTCTGAAGGGTGCATTGGCGTGCGCTGGCGTCTGGTAGTCGACGAGAACGCGCCGATGTAATTTCGATTAGCGTCGATACGCGTTGGTTTAGCATCAGTTACCATCGATGAGATTTGATTCGCAAGAGCCAACAAGATGGTATAGTATGCTCCCATGAGTTGCCACAAAAAGGTACGCCCCCGAGGGGAGCGCCGGGTGGAGCCCCTGGAGCTTGCCCAGCGATCGGCTCGCTGTGGGGCTTCCGCCTCCCAAGCAGGCCGCAGATTCCCCCAAGGCGCAGGTGAGCACGTCCGACGCCGACCCCTCCTCGGCGGGCCTCTCCTGGGGCACCTTCCGGTCGGCCCACCCGCGCGCCCGGACCCTACAGTACCGCGTCGAGCTCCGAGAGGCCGTCGCGGAGGCCGCCAGTGAGGATGGCCAGGCTGGAGGCGATCGGCGGGGCAATCCGACCCTTGCCCGCGCCGATCAACGATTCAGGCGACTCGATGGGCGGCGGGGGCAGGTTCGGAATTTGTCGAACGAGTGGCGAAGTCCAAAACCTACTCCCGCCTCCCATTGATTCAGGAGAATCGATGGTTGGTGGGGGTAGGGTTCGGACGTCGCCGCCTGAGGCGATGAGCGCGAGGACGCCTCGTGGTCTCTCGTGCGCGTCTTCGAGCAGTGCACGCAGGGGGCCCCTCGGACCCTGTCTTGCCAGCTGCGGCACCTGCAGCCCAGCCGTCAGTACGCCGCCCGAGTCAGGGTGCGCCACTGGCCGCTGGACAAGCACTGGCGGGCCGAGGTGGCATGCCGCTTCAGCACCCCGTGCACAGGGGCGCACCCCGACGACTTCCCGCCTCCCAGGCCGCTGCCGAAGGAGTGGCTCGACCTCCCGGCTCGCCAGCGAGCCGACGAGGTCGGGCGTTGCGTAATGGGGGTGGGGGCGATAGATGCCGGGGTGGAGAGAGGTGCACACCTCGTGTGCACCCACGGGGCTCTGAAAGGAGACCCCCCGGGGCCCCAAAGGGGCACGAAAGGTGCACGTTGTTTCGCCCCCCCGGTTCTACATCGCACCCCTATTGAGCACTACGCCCCACGAGGGCGCCTTGGAAGGGCACGCCTGGTGCGCGGTGTGGCTGCCGCCGCCCGCCGCGCAATGGCCGAGGCACTGGGCACAACAAAGAATCAAAGCCACAACCAGGTAATTAAGCGGGTCTCTATGGAGGCCCCTCGGGGCAGGCCCCTCGGGGCAGAACCCACCGACCTCGACGTTAACACTGTGGCTCTTGTTGTGGTCGATTTGGCCGCCCTGGGGCGCCCACGTCGACCATGAGCAGCACTGCGCCCTTGTGATTGCTGGCATGCGCAAGGCATCCCCCGAGGGTGTGTTCTCGATGCGGTTGTGGCCGTTGGCTGTCCCCGAAGAGGCACCTCTGCTTCTTCGAGTGGCGGCACGCTGGCGGGAGCCCTGCGCAGGCCCTGTGGACGGTCGCGGAGGCAGAGCGCACGGCGCTGCGCCTGTCGGAGGCCGACGCCGGCGTCCTCAGGGGTGGCTGCGGCGAGGTCGTGCGGCTGCCCCACGCGGAGGAGCGGGGCACAGCAAAAGAACCACAGCCACAGCGGAGTGGATGGTGGGGAGGGCTGCTCCAGGAAGCACCCGCTACGCTTTGGTTTTGGTGATGGTCGATTTGGCTGTCGATGGGGCGCCCACGCCGAACACAGCCAATACTGAGCTGGCTTCGGTATGCCTGGCGACTGTTGGCATGCGATAAACATCCTGGGTGCGTCCTCGATGTGCTTGTGGTCGCTTGCTGTCCCCGCAGAGGAGCCGCTGCTCCTCCGCTTCCGGCACGCCGCTGGCCTCGTCACCGCCATGGCGTACGTGGCGACCTTCTTCGCGCCGCCGGGGCCGCCCGCGGCCTCCCTGGAGGTTCAGGGGCAACGTTTGGGGGGCATCCTCCGGAGGGGACGCCGCCGCCCCCAGTCGCACACTCATCGCCGGCGGGGGCCCGGCAGCCCACCCCGCCCAGGACCGCGCGGATTCGCTGTCAGGGGCCCATCGCCGACCCATCCGCGATGCATCGCTGATTTCAGCTCGATGCTGCCCCCCCCCCACCCCCTGAGCCAGTCCCCCCGACGCGTGGCCCCCCAGAGGTGTCGGACGACGGCCTCGCGGTCCTGATCGAGGGCTCAGGCGGAGGCCACCCGGGCCACGCCTCCGCGACGAGGTGCCAGTTCGCCGTCGAGGGCGCGGGCGCGGGCGCGGCGCCGCGGGAGCTGAGCGCCCTCGGCCTCTGCCCTGCCGCGGGGCGCTGGCAGCAGCGCCTCCCGGTGGAGGCCCACGGCGCGCTCCTGCCGCCCCTGGGCGTCGTGCGGCTCTGCGCGCGCGTGGGCGACGGCAGCCGCTGGTCGGAGTGGTCGGCGTGGTCCGCGCCGCTGGAGCTGGCCGTGCCGCGGCCGGAGCCCGCGGCCGGGTCGGAGCTGCGCGCGTGCGAGCTGCCCGCCAGCCCGGGCGCGGTGGAGCTCACGTGGGCGCCGTTCGTCACCGCGGCGGGGCTGCGCGACGTCGACTACCACGTGGAGGCGGCGCCGACGGCCTGCCCGGACGAGAGCACGCAGCAGGTCGTGCCGGCAGCGCTGGCCGCCCGCGCGACGCCTGGCGTGTGCGCCACCATTCTGCGGAGCCGGACGACGAAACACGGGCACGGGCATGATCTTGGCTGTAAATCATGGGGGCCGGTTTAGCACCCGGGCGAATCCCAGCTCCAATCTGGTGCCGTTTAGCTAAACGGCACCTAGTGTGCGTCAGTGTCGCGTGTGTCTATGTTCTCCCTCCCCCATTCTTCCGACCCCAGCTCTTCTGCGATGAAGAAGCAATTGCACGAGCATGGTCAAATTTTCGGAGCTCCGCGCGGGCTTCTTGGATCGGCGCTGGGCACCCCTGGCGGCGGCTCTTGCGCCGCCCCTGGCGCGCGCGCGCTGGGGAGGGGGGTCCAGCGCCGATCCAAGAAATCCGCGCGGACCTCCGACAGTACAGCCAGTTTGTTGAAATAAGGTCCAGTTCGAGGTCGGACGGGGCTCGGTGGTTCCATTTAATTGTGTCTGCGTGCGTTCCGTGCCTCCTCTGGTGGCGAGCCCCATTCGGTGTTCCTTCGGATTCTGCGGCCGTTCCTTCGGATTTCACAACTCGACTCGAAAGAAGGGGGGCTTCGTTGCTGTTGGGCAACGCCATGGGGGTGCGATCAACAGGAGGGCAGCGAGGGCTGCAGAAATGGGGGCCCTGCGGGCCCCGAAAGGGGCCTTTCCGGGCCCAGCACGGGGCGCTTTAGGGCCCGAAGAGGGCACCATTCTTCCCCCCCACCCCAATGATCGGCTCCCCATTTAGCTTGGGTCGCCTTGAATATGCCCAGGGCGTTCTTTTAGCGTTTTCAGCTCGGCGTCGTGGAAATCATTGTTTTCAGCGTTTTCAGGCTTCAGCAGAAAAAGCTAAAAACGCTAAACATATGCGTTGCTTTAGCGTTTGTCATAAATGCTGAAGCGTTTTCAGTCTGAAAGCGCCGAAAGAACGCCAACACAACGACCCAAAAAACGCTAAAACAACGTAGCGTTGGTTTAGCGTTTGCAGCCTTTCAAGAGCCCAAAATAGAGAACGCTGAAAAATGCACAGGGCGCTTTTAGGGCGAACCATGCCACTCAGCGACGCCCAACTCTTATCTATCGTTCCGGATTCCAGCAGCTCTCATGTATGTCGTATGCCAGGACGCCGTGGGCACGGGCCCGCGGCCGGCCGTTTTTCATATTTGTTCTTTCCCTTTCTTGAGCACACCCTCTCCGCGGCCTCCCCAGTTCCCCCCCGTCCCCGGCTGCTTAAAGCAGTTCTAGGGGGCACGGAAAAAGTGACCACCAGCCACGCGGAAAGAGGGGTAGGAGGAGGGGAGAGGGCCTCTTAGAAGCACCCCGGCTTCTTAGAAGGCGCTGGCCTTCTCTATAGATTCAGAGCCTACGCCTTGTAAGAAGCAGCCTCCTTCTAAGAACCCCTCCCCCCTCCCTCCGACCCCTCGTGCGCGCCGCCAAATGGGCAGCTCTCACACTTCCAAGTCGCTTCAAGTCGGCCCAAACACACCCCCTGACGGGCCCAGGGGCCCGAAGAGCAACCCTCAGAGCCCCCTCTGCGGACAAGAATTTGGGATGTTCCATTGATTTTTCTATGAGTTTCCTACACTTACCTTTCCGCTCCTCGGGGCGCGCATGACGGGCTGAGAAGCTCCCAAGCTCGCCTCTCGACGCCCCGAAGGGGCCCCAAGCGGGCCCCAAGAAGGACCCAAGGCGCTGAAATTGGCTGGCCCTCCGTAGCCATTTTGGCTCAAATCCGTAGCCGTTTTGGCACGAGACCTGACCTTACTGGCGTGGGGGAGTCAGCGGCCCCATCTGTGACGCCTCACTGCCTGGTCAGGGAGGCATTTTGCTTTGCAGAGCTGGTTCTCCCCAGCTACTGCTGCTTTCTCTCATGTGTCGCGCGCACGGCTGATGGTCCCAGATCCGCCCAAGGGGCCTTCTCGTCAGGCACGCGACCGCCCGCATTCTCAGAGTGGTTACAAGGCGTGCTATGGCAAGAACTCGTGCGGCTACCAGTACACTTTGGTGGAGTGGAGCAGGTGCTTTCGCTGTAAGAAGTGGATTCGTGATATGGTTGTTCGCGACGCAGTCCAGGGGCCCCCGAGACCCTGGAGAAGAACGGGCGAGCAGCAAGCACAGGATGCATGGCAGCTGGTGGGCAAAAGTGGCCGAGGCCGCAAGGGAGGTTCCGTGCCCGATCATGATGCTGTTGAGTCCCCAGGCGGAGGCGGAGATGCACCTTCGAAGCCTGGCCCTTGGCATGGCAAGGGTGGCCCTGCCGCTCGTGCCAAAGGTAAAGCCGTTGACAACAGGGCAGCCAAGCAGGAGTAGCTGTCGGCCGCCATCGAGCAGCTCACACTGGCAGGCCTTGGGCCCGAACACCCGCTGGTTGTGGTTGCCAAGGCCCAGATTCCCATTGTGTCCGCCACACCTGACGACAACCAGGGCCAGACGCCTTGGATGCGGGTGCGGCCACATCAGGACAAGTTGGCCCACTACCAGGGCCAGCTTCAGGCAGCGAAGTCCACCGAGGCCTCGATCAAGCAGAAGCTTGCTGAGCTCGAGCAGGACTTGGCGGAGCGCATGGAGTCTCAGCAGAAGCTGGCTGAGTCCGTCAAGCGCGAGGAGGAGGAGCTGCAGCGGCTACATCGCCGCGCTGTCCTTCAGCCTGTGGGTGCTGGTGGGAAGTCGGCAATCTCTGGCTTGGTCGAGACGCTGTTTGGCCATCTTCCTGCTGGTTTCAAGTCGGCCAAGGCGGCCCAGTTCCAGTCTGTGGCCGACCTCCTGGGCGACCTGTCCGCGGCTGGGCTCCAGTTTCAGCGGGAAGAGGAGGAGCGCCAGCGGCAGGCGGCCGAGGCAGCGGCTCAGCGGGCGGCTGCTGGCGGCGATGCTGGTGATGCTGGGGCGACTTCGACGGCTATCGATTCCAGGGTGGCCGAGGATTGCAAGCAGCAGCTCACTGAGCTCATGCAGGGTGGCAAGGCTGGGCAGTATGAGGGCCTCTTCAAGACAATGCTCGAGTTCCTGGAGAACCCCGCGGCCCTCGCCAAGCGACCCAGACGTGACCCCCCGGCCCCTGCGGCGGCAGCCGCACATGATGTTCATCATGTCCCAGGTGCTGTGGCTGGCCAAGGCGTGGATGTTGATGTATCCGCAGCGGCTGGTGCTGGACCACAAGGGGGGTAACATGCTCAGCAAGAAGTCTGAGACGGCGCGGCGCTCTCTTTCGAGATCATGTTCGGCGTCGGGCCCAATTTCATGTTCACCTGAGGTTTTGGCGGGCACGAGAGGCAGGTCCGCCAGGACCGCGACCGCTTGGGAGGGGGTCGCGGGGAAGCAAGGTGCCCTGATTTGCAGCGAAGCTGGAGCCTTGCGAGGGGGACTGGAGACCCGTGCTCGCCAGCCTGGTTCCCTTCCTCAGGTTGGCTCTTTCGTTCCTTCGGCACCTCCAGCGGAGGGCCATAGTTCAGCCAGGCTCGTGCGTCATAGGCGTCCTGAGGTCTGGAGGATCTGTTCGTCTAATATTACTTCGTGGGGAGTGGAGTGCGACAAGGGCTCCAGGGTCTCCCGCAGGCCGCTCCTTGAGGTCATTGACTCCGTGGAGGCCGACTTGTTTTTTGTTCCAGGAGCATCGCCAGTCTGAGGTTCAGTTGGCAGACGCCCAGCACGCTTTGCAGAAGGCAGGGCTGAACTCTTTGCTGTCCCCAGCGGCGCCGTCGGGCCGTTCAGAGTCTGGCACGTCTGGAGGAGTTGGCTTGGCTACACCGAAGCTATGGGGCCCCAAAGGCCTCGATGCTCTCCCCATGGTATCGCTTTACCTCCTGATCATCGGTTTCGGTTAGGGCTCTGGAGCGGTCTATGCACGGGTGGAGTCGTGGTCGGTTCGGTATATTTACACACGGGGATCGGCTGCAGGGGCCAGAACCTCACCCTCCTCCACAACATTGGGGAAACTCTTCGTGCGTATGGGATGTCATTCGTACTGGGTGGAGATTTTCAGTTCCCTGGTGATCAGCTTATTGAGCCCGAGTGGCTAGGGGGCCTCCAGGCTGACGTTGTGTTCGATGATTCTCAGTGGACGTGCCAGTTTGGAACGTTTCGATCATCTAATGGTTATTTTGTGTCGAATGTACTCAAGCCTTTCGTTGACCGTTGCCGCGTGGCGACATGGTCGACTTGCGCGAGGCCGCACCGCCCAGTTGCGCTGACAATCAGTGGCAGCCCCAGGCAGGCGACGGTACCCAGGCTGAAGAAACCATAGGCCCCCCCCGTTTTTTCGTCCTATCGGGTGCGACCCCAGGCCACTGGATTGGGATGATCTCTTGGAGGTTCTCAAGGGCGGCAAGTGTTCAAAGGATGTGTTGGATACGGTCACCTCCCAGTGGGCTCAGAGGGCCGAACATATTTTAACCCGAGTTCTCCAGGTGGAAGGCGATCCACGTTATCGAGGACGAGGAAGCCCCCCCCAAGGTGGTCCAGGCCCCCCCTCATGGGCCCGCCTGCGTCCACTCACCCTCGCGCCATCGGCGAAGGACGGATGTGGCGGGTTTTTGAGAGGCGGCCCCAGGACATCCTTTATCTCTGGCATGGGCCACGGCCTACCTTGGGGGGTTTGCATCAAGCTGGGCTGATTCTCAGGAAGTTGGTGAACTATGCGTCCCCGTTCACTGACTGCAAGCACTGGGAGTCCTGGGGGCTTAGGAGTTTGGCTGTCAACCCTGCTGCGACCTCGGAGCTCAACGAGTTGATTTGGCAGGTCCGAAAGTGGGCCCAAGAGCATGAGCACCACGCGGCCTCTGAGAGGGCCAGGACTTGGAGGAACTGGGTGGCTGAGGCTCTCACGGGCCCCGACATGGGCACAGTAACACGAAAGAGGTTCCCAAATGGGCTACGCGTGGGTTATCGCAGCTCTCTGGGCCCAACGGTGTTCCTTTCGGTGTCTTGGGAGATGCCGAAGCACGAGCTCAAAGTTGGCACAAACACTGGGGAGTTGGTCAAGTTTTTCCTGATCCTGATTTCAGCTGGTGCGAAGATGAACCCGAGCTCGAACCACCGACGCACGAGGAG